CGTGAGGAGGAATGAGCGGCCAATGGAGATTTATGTGAGCAGAGCGAGATGGACAAGGTAAAATTGTCAGGAGGAGTTGTTGGAAAGTAAAATATATTGTGACAATTCCACTCCTGCCGTTCATCAATAAACTGACAGATCATTTAGTGTCAATTAGGAGTGATAGATGGACAAGTCCCCATGATCCTGGGCCAAAATTAATGGCTGGGAGGGAGAGGGTGATTGAAAATGACGGCTGACATTGAGAGCAAAGTCCTCAAAGTCCCCGAGGGGCCATTACTTGCCTCATTCCCTTGCAGATCAATGCAGGGACAAACCCCAAAACAGACACTTTGAGACAAAACTTAGTCAGAAGGCCTTCTCCTTCCCAGGTTTGGGTCCCTTGCCCTCAGCTCTGCTCACCATGGCCACACCGGTGACCTATCAACTCTTTTAGTGTCCCCATTCAGACAACTTCAGGCAGCTGACTCCAAAATGGTGCCTTTGGCACAGCTATTACTTTCAGACCAGCAGAAGGGACAGGTAAGAATTTCTGGTCCCAAGCCATTCCTCAAGTCAACCCTGCCCTGTACCTTGGAGTGAGTCCACGTTCTAGGACATGGTACCTCCCAGGGCCAAGGCCCATAGACGCTTTGCTCTGTCTTAAAGAGTATTTCACACTGAGCAAAGGTATTGTGGGAGCTCACTAGTCAGAGCCATAAACAACCCTCTTCTTTCCACAGGAGAGTGAAGCGGCCTCAAACTGTCATCTGTCCTACTTCAGTGAATGGAGCCTCCCTGACTTTTGTCACGGGTCGGAACTGTTTGCACCCCATCCCCAGATTCCTAATCCCTAAGGTGCAGGTGGTGATTAGGCTGGGCTGAGATCACTAGGATGAGGCTCTCAGGGTGCGGTGCGGAGGGGGTGGGGGGAAGGACTGACGTACCCAGAAAGAGCTCCTCACCAAGGACTGAGTCATACTGCATTCTGACCTTACACATCTTGCCCCCAGAAAGACCAGTGAACGTGGGCATTGCCTGAGCTCCAGGGATCTGGTAATTCCTTACAGCAGCCAGACTGTGTCAGATGTGCAGTGCCTGCCACAAGGCTACTGTTGTCCCAGAAGCTTTTAAAGTAAGCACACTTTTCTCCAGGTCGAACTCTCTGATGTAATCAGCCTAAGGAGAAGGTTGCCACCCCCCCCCAACACCAAACCTTAAACCCAAACACTCGCACTGTCTTTGTGAGAATCCAACTAGCTTGTCCCCATCTACTGTATGAGGTGGCCCTGGCCTTAGAGTCACTTTCTTCTGATGTCACATGCTTAGCCCCACCCATGCCATCTGCCTCTCACTAAACTCTCTGCTCCTTGGGCAACCCGTGCCTTTCTGGCTAGAGATGCCTGATGTCCTCGATTAGAATCTAGCTCTCCCAGGACAGGGAACACACCCTGCACTGTGGTACTCACTAACACATTCTGGCTCGTGCAAAACCACTAGGAAGCACTAAAGCTGCACAGACTTGGAGCACTGCCCTAGGGCAATCAGAGTCAGTCACTATTCCCTTTGGTCCCCACCAAAGCTGAGCGGTCACACTGGGCACCACTAACATGGGGCTCACACTCAGTACCACTAACACGGGGCTATGTTCAGTCCTGAGCCTTCTCATGAAACGTGAGAGAAAGTACCTGGTATCACCTGTTCTTGTCCCAGACCTTCATCTTGAATCTAGTCATGACAAACTGGAAAAATGGGGACAGACCTTCTGTGAGACAACTGGCCTGGATGTCTTGGACATAGAAGTGGCAGCCATTATGGATCAAGAAGTGAAAGAAGCCGGGCCTGGTGGCCTATACCTGTAATCGCAGCACTTGAGGGCTGAGGCGGAAGGAGGGATATGGGATTGAGGCTAGGTTATAAAGACCCCAGCTCCCGAGAAAGATGGGGAGAAGATAGAGCTAGCTGTATGGATTCTGATTGGTTTTAGAGCTAGAAAAACACTGAAGGACAAATAGGGACATTTAAATGTAAGCACATATCGGAAACTATTAAGTAACTATGCAGTGACCTAGTGATCAGGATTCTGTGACTAGGCTGGAAGATGCAGGCTTTAGTATTTAGGGATAAATGTCATACCTACCGTCTACAACTGACTTTGGAATGACTGGGGAATAATATCAAGGATGAGGGAGATGGGGGAGAAGAGAGTGGGAGGGAGGGATGCAAAGGGCTGGAAAGAAACATGTCCTGCTGTCAGTTTTTTGATTCTGCTCTAGTGCTGGGGACAGAGCCCAGAGCCTTTTGTATGCTAGGCAAACTCCCTTCCACTGAGCTACATCCCTGGGCCAAGGAAACCTCTCTAACAATCTTGTTTTGAAGACAGCAGCTCAAAGAAATTCTGATTACAGTTGATGTCTACTCTTTAAGACTGTACCTCTTTAAGACAGTGTGTATCTCTGCATGTCTTAAATAACCTTGGTGACTGGCCATCCCACTGCTGGTGTTGACAATAGGCTTGGTCTACCTTACATCAAAGAAGATTTAATGCAAGGAATTAAAGCCAAAACAGACTTGAAAAGCCACTGTTAGATGGGAACTCTGAACACACAGAGCACTTACCCTGTCAACTCCCTCCACATAACTTTATCTGTAAAATGGGACTAAATAAAATGTCCAACAGTATCCTTTGTGTCAGACTTCAAGAAGCCACAAAACCCAACGGCAACTGAACCTGTCCAGCCTGGAAGCCGCCCACCCAGAACCTATGAAAACCAGAGGCTCACGGTGCAGGTGGCAGCCAGCACTGGCCAAGTGGCAAGAGAGAGCTGCACCATCACCACGTTTTTTAAGCACCACTGTTAGAATACTTTTGTTTCCTGTGGCCTTGCACATGGTAACACAAACTGCAGCACCTGGCTGGGCATGCCGTTGAGCTTCGTGCTTTTCCTGTGTTGTGTGTTCCAGCCTCAGAGCAACTCTGTGCCCTGAACACTGCTGCCATTTTATAGGGCTAAGTGTACACTGCCACTCAAGTGGGTGCTACAACCAGAATCCACACTCAGGCACATCTGAATCAGTCACCCGCTGCTCTAAGTTGATTCCTACGGGCAAGGTCACAGATGGCCAATGCCTCGTGACCATCGGTGTGCATTTCAGGTTCTTTTGAGAGTGGCAGAAAGAAGTGGGGGAATGCTCTCTTTGACTCAGGACAAGTCATTTGGAAACCTTCCCAGAGACATGGATGCTATCCCAGATGGCTCAAGAGCTCCATCACTGTCTAAGACTTTAAAAACGCTAGAGACACTGGGGTTGTAGCTCAGTTAGTGGAATACTTTCCTCTAGCAGAGAATGAGGCTCTGGGTTTGATTCCCACCATGGTGTAAGCCATGTGTCATGGTGGCACCTGTAATCCCAGGGCTCTGGAGGTGGAGGCAGGAGGATTTGACAAGTTCAAGGTCATCCTTAGCTACATATTAAGCTAGAAGCCAGCCTGGGACACATGGCACTCTGTTTCAAAAACAAAACACACAAGCTCAACATGGTCGTGCATGCCTTTAATCACAGCACTAGGGAGGCAGAGGCAAGTGGATTTCTTGGAGTTCAAGGCCAGCCTGGACTATATCCATAGCAAGCTCCAGGCTATCCACAATTAAATAGCGAAATAAGAACAAAGAAAATCCAACCAAGCAAATCCTGTAAAATCTCCTTGGAGCAAAGCTTTAGAAGCCTGACATGCTTATGTTAAGGTGCATAAGAATACTGATATTCAAAACAACCCTTCATTGTCTAGACCTAGAAGTACTCCCAAAAGACCCTTTCAGGGCAAGTATAAACATCACCATCTGCCAGAACACAGGTAGAGAAAATGGTCAAAGCCATCATGAAGGGATGAGGACAAGAAATCCAATAATCGCCATAGCAGCAGCAACATTCAGCATCTACCTGGTGCCTCCTAAACGTGTCTTTCTTTTCTGTGAACCCAGTTATCCTCACATCAGTCCACGCAAGCAGGAGCTACTTCAACCCCACTGCAGAGATGAGCAAACAGAAGCCAGACAGCTTAATTGCCTGTTCAAGGTCTCTATGGTGTAATACTGAGCATAGCCAGGATTTGAAACCAGGTATTCTGGTTCCAGAATATGTGCCTCTTGATCACCACACTTGTCTCTCAACATGGAACCACAAGGCCTCTGACATGAGGTTGGAAAGGTTGGGGTGGGGAGTGGAGCTGGAGGGTATTTATCAGAACAGCATCACCTGGTCAGAAGCACTGATCCAGAGGCTCAGGTGTCAGGAGCACCTTGCCCAACCTTTTCTTGCTGGGTGATGATGGACCAAGCATCCACAGCCCCACACAACTTAAAAGGGACACCATGGGTCTGTGACACTGGTTGTTCCTTCTAGGAGCTCCAAAGAAAAAGAGAGGATGATAAGACAGTGTTAATTATTGTGGACCAGTGTTCCCACCAGCTCCTGGCACCGGCTTATGATAAACATGAGATGCCAACCAGGCGGTAATGGGACACCTGTCCTGTTCTTCACGAATAAATGTTCTGTGTCCAATGCAGACATGCTGCAGAGTTCATCCATGGCAACTAATAGGCCATTCCAGCACGCTTAAGAGAGGGCTGGAACAGAGCAGGGCTGGACTGTGAAAATGGCTGGCCAAGCAAGAGGAGTCATAAAGGACGGGACAAATCAGAGACCCACTGACATGGACATCAGTAGAGGCAAATCAGAGAGAGAATCGGACTGTAGTCCAGGGATGGGAAGTCAGGGTGGCATGGAAAGGGGCTGTTGAGAGGTACAGGGCTTGTTAGGTGGGATGGGAGAAAACTGTCCTAGAATTGACTGGGTGACAGGCGCAGAACTGTGCCTATGCTAAGAACAGTTACGTTGTACACTTAAACGGTATGTGACTTGCCTCAGTAAGGTTACGGAAATGACGACCCAGGTATACCATGTCCATACCTCCCTACCCCCCCCCACTATAACTTACGCCCAGGGAGTTGTGTACTCACTTTGACACCTTCACGGAGTCATCTGCCCAGCCTCCCTGCCGCCGAGGTGGTTTTGGTGGGGGAGCCTGTGAGAGAGAAGTCAGAATGACAATCACTCAGCTTTGTGCCTCCCAACACTACAGAGCGCCGGGTTCAGGTCACCCAAACCGAGGCAGCTCACTGAAGCACTCCCCCAATAAAAATATGAAAGTAAATTCCAATTTACTATGAAAACTGTACCATCATCCCTCCTGGTGGGTGTGGAAATCAGCACACTGTTCCTGATGGACAGCTGGCAGCTATCTACTGAAGACTTAAAAACAGTCAAGATTTTGTTTCCAGCCCTGGAGAGTAAACCCAGGGCCTCAAACCAATGAGCTGCATTCCATGTGTGTGTATGTACATGTATGTGTATGTGCGTGTGCAAGTGTGTGTGAGTATGCATGTGCCTGTGTGTATGTGCATGTTTGTGTACACACACACACACACACACACACACACACACACACGCATGTGCGCACGTGCGCACTTGTGCACTTGAACCCACATGTATGTGGAGCGGTGGATGTGCCACATGTACAGAGGCCCAAACTTGACTTCAGACAGGGTCTCTCACTTAGCCTGGATCTCACTGATCAGGCTACATTGGCTGAGCGATGAGCTGCAAAGGCTCTAGCTGCCTTTCCCTCCCTATGGTTACAGGACCACACTACCACGCCCAGCGTCTTATGTGTGTTCGGAGAATCTGATGTTCTACCTACTGAGCCATCTCTCCAGCCTGCTTACACCTGCTAAAGCAGCAATTTTTTTTTTTCCTTTGAAGATTTATTTTTACTTAGTGTGTGGGGGATGTTCTGCCTGCATGTATGTCTGTGCACCACATGTGTGCAATACCTATCATGACCAGAAGAGGGTATCAGATCCCCTGGAACTGGAGTTAACAGATGGTTGTGAGCCACCTGTGGGTGCTAGGGGGATGGAACCCAGGTCTTCCAGAAGAGAAATCGGTGCTCTTAACTGCTGAGCCATCTCTCCAGCCCCAAGGCAGCAATTCTAAACCCAGAAACTTGTCCCAAGGACATAAACATGAAGAACATATGTCATTTCTGTATAACTGACACTTGGCAATAACCAAAACGGACAGCAATAAGGAACTAAATAAAATGAAAGAATATATACAAAATAGTATGCAAGTAATGCAAAACCATGTTATAAAAGTAATTTCAAAGTTCATACACATTAATTAGAAAACATTTCAAAACAGTAGGAATAAGGATCTGATGTGGAAAAAAGACCATTAGATCTAAGCACATGCTAGGGACTCCTAATCAAGAGCAATTTAAATTTTCCACCCCTGTGCTTTCACGAATTCTCTGACTTTTAATGGTCTACTTATATTACTTTTATAAGAATAAAAGTAATAAAATGAAGATTTAAGAGTAAGGTTTGCTTAGCAGACATAAACACGGCATTGGCAGGTTCTACTTTCCTCAAGCTATTTGGCCAGGAAGCAAACACACTCCCCTAGAATGGGCACGGTCAGAAACTCTATTGTACAGATTCTCACCCAGCATGCCCTAACTACAAATACCACCCAATAGCAAGCCTCGACAGCACCTGAGCCGGTGAAACAGCCCGGAGTGTGTCCTGTTGAATTACCCAGCATTCTTCCAGGAATGTTTTTTGAAATCTCAGTTTCCTTTTTCCAAGAACTTCACAAAATTCTAACTGTGGCTCTCAGACTGGAGAGGAGTTCTGATAAATGGACTACAACAGGGGTCAGCAAACTTCTACAATGGATTAGGAGGTATCTCTTATGGGCTATACTGTCTCTGGTGTAACTACTGAACTCCGACCCATGGAGAAATAAATAGTTTAGATACTAAGGCAAGCAGGTAAAGCTGACCATCAAAAACAAAACAGAAACTCTAAAACCAGGCAGTGTGCCAGCTGTGAGGGGAAGGATGTGGTTTGCTGGCCCCTGGACTAAGATGTCATGTCATTGTGACCTCCTTTCTGAAGCCTAACAGGACCATTTGAAGAAAACACCTGCTCAGTATGCCTGCATGCCTTTGTGCTTTTGATGTTTTGTTTTGGACTTTTTTTTTCAAGACAGGGTTTCTCTGTATATCCCAGGCTGTCCTGGAACTCACTCTGTAGACCAAGCTGGCCCGAACACAGAGTGCTGGGATTAAAGGTGTGTACCACCACACCCAGCCTGTTGTTGTTGTTATTATTATTATTATTTTTTAACATGGTGATAGGTTTTCTTTTCTACCATAGTAGCTGTGCCCCAGCCTGGCAAAGAAATGTTCCATTTACATATAGGATCTTTCTGTGGTATGAGCCAGGGCCTGCTGGAAAGACTGAGGAGGATCCAAGTCCTGGAATAAAATACCTAAACCTCACTGAGCACTTGGAAAATGTAAGAGACAATTTAGGGGGAAAAAAATAAACAACAGCTTAGCTTTCTACATTAGAGGCCGGCAACAGAGCCAGAGGAAGGCCCTGCATGTCTGTCCATCCCAGAGCCAGAGGAAGGCCCTGCATGTCCATCCCACTTAAAGGGAATCTGAAATAAACAAGTGGAAAACATCCACCACCTGTCTCCAGAAGGGGATGGGGAGACCCAAGGATGCACTCAGGGGCTACACCCTTGACTCTATGTCCACCTGAGACGAGCCCATCCGTGGGCTGGAAGAAGCAGCCATCTATCCCATGCCCCATTTTCCTTACACACAGCTAACTAAGTTCAGTGTACTGGACCCAGGCAAAACTAATTAGAACCAGGTGTGACGATGCATGCCCCAATCCCAGCACTCAGGAGGCTGAAGCAGGAGGATTCCAAGTTTGAGGACAGCCTGAATTACACGGTGAGACAAACAACCAAAAAGAATCAACTGGATTGAGCCACAGAAGTGTGTGGGCTCCTTCAGACAACACAGAGCAGGACATCTCTAAAAACCAACTAGAGGCAGAGTAACCCAAGCCTATGAAACACAAAGCGGCCTGCAGAATCCAAGGACCTCATCCTGTCTCATGCATGCATAAGGCAGTATGATGAGGGCACACAATTTTGAACTGAACTGACCCATACTGAGCCCCCTTGAGATGTTTCAGACTGATATACGGCCAGGCAAGATGGTGCATATTTACAATATCAGCACTTGGGAGGCTGAGTCATGAATTCAAGGCTAGCCTGGACTACCCAGAGAGACAATGTCTCAAAAGAAAGGGGTGGGGTCTGGAAAAATGGGTGGATGCCTAAGAGTACATGCTGTTCTAATCATAAGGACCAGAACTCAAATCCCAGCACCCACAAAATAATCAGGGCCCCCAGTGCACACTTCTAACCCCATCTCTGCAGACATGGTGATGTGAGGGTAACTGACGCTGGCTGGTTTCCAGCCCAGCCAAGAAAACTCGAGTTTCAGGCTCAGGGAGAGACCCTGCTTCAAAAGAAATAGGTGGGGAGTGTGGAGGACACCTGGCGCCCTCTTGTGGCCTTCACACATGTGCACAGGTTCACATCCATACATGTTCTCTCTCTCTCTCTCTCTCTCTCACACACACACACACACAATCTCTTAAAAATTCAAACATAAAATAAATAAACCAATTTGCGATTACATGGCCAGAACACCCCTCTCCCTGTGCCCCTGAGAAAAAACACTCTACATCTTTGTACCCGAAGATGGGCCTGTGATACTGCAGTGTGGTCATTAATTGGTCGCCATGTTTAGTTTGGCCACACAATTTCTTTTGTTTATTTTCAATTTATGATACCATCTAAGAATTGGAAGATTTCCACATTAAAAGTCAGTTTCCAGCTGCCTTGACAAACTGGAATATCTAGTAACTCTGGGGCTGAGCAGGAGCCATGCCCTGGGGCAGGGACATGCTCGGAAGTTAGCTGCTGTCCTCACCTCCGGCTCCTTCCTGCTAATGTTCCTTCTTTTGTTCCTGTACAGTGTAGCTGTTTTTAACCCTGGTACAGAATTCTCTCTCTGTTCCTCTGCTTACCAGAAAATGGCAGGGGGAGGCTATGCAGTGTTCTGAGGAGAACAGGCAGTATGATCTTTTCTTGCATGCCCAGTGGGCAGAATGAACCACACTTTTAACGAAGCCATTAGTGCAGTGGTTCTCAACCTGTGGGTCGAAACCCCTTTCACGGGTCACATATCAGATACCCTGCATATCAGATATTTGCATTAGGGTTCATAACAGTGGCAAATTGACAGTTATTTTACTGTGAGGGGTCACCACAACATAAAGATTGTCTTAAGGGGCTGCAGCATTAGGAAGGTTGAGAACCGCTGCTGGAGTTGACCCTAGCCCTAGTCTAACTACACTCCCCGAGGTTGGTGCAGCTGGCACCTGGGTGTGTGGTCTCCAACCATTTCTCCGGCCCAGGTGTTGAGAAAGAGAGAAAGAACTCAAGTAAAACCTGTGACGTTAAAGTACAGGGAGCGTTGCATCCGTTTGGGATGTTTTGCTAATGCTGTAAGATGCCAAGAGTCCAGGCCAGGGACTGTACTATCTCTTCTCTACTATGGATGTGGGTTACAATGGCAGCAGGGGCAGACAGCGGCCTGAGAGAAAAGATGGTGGAATATTAGGCAGTGTGGAAAAAGAGAAGTGATACAAACTTCCTCCGAAACGTAGCCTTTGAGTAATCCCTGAAAGACCAGAGGGACGGTCAGTGGACGGGATGGTTAAGCTCACAGATCAGTGCCAGGCATGTCATGAGTCTTCTTCTACAATCTCTGTTGTCACCGTTACTAATGTCAACACAGGAAAGACCAGACCATAACTAAATACGCCGCAATCATCTAAGGGCAAACTAAAGGCAGCCGCCTGTTAGGCCGGCTGGATCTCCTCGGTCACTGCGACTAAGGGGACATGTGGCACCTCTAAACAGACAGGAGGAAGAAGTCAGGGCCACTGGGGGTCAGTGAAGCCACTCCGCCCCTACGGGTGACAGCAGCCGGTCTCTCGTTTTCCCAATCACAACATGGCACCCTTGAATGAGAAACAAAAAGCCTGGCACACAGCAACCATTCCTTCGCGCCTAGCTGCTCGATAT